GGAGAGAAATGAATCCAGGCATGTTTCGGAATATTTTGCATAGAGCAATTAACATTGGCATTGAAATTCAAGTGTAATCTATGTGCAACGGGCTAGGAAAGGGGACAGGTGCAGCTGAAATTCTTTTGTGTGGAGAAAGCAAAGTATGGAAATGTAGCTGACAACATACATACATGGTTAGTATAACAGATAGATATAGCATGAAATGAAATGGTTTGGCACTTGTGTCCACATAATAATATAACAAACAGTATTACGTAATCGTCCATCCGAGTAAGCAACAGTAATAATGAGAGAGGGGTGGTACCCGGAGCGTCCGTGAAGCCTCTGCTGCGGCAGAAGCGGCAGAGGCAGCTGGGCCATGGGTGTGCGGGGCGGGCGGCGAGAGGCAGTCGGCGACAGCCCTCCGAAGCGGCTCTGGCGGCTTGCGGGCGGAGGCGGTGGATATGAAGCCGGCGGCGGAGACGGATCGCGGCGGGCGGTGGGGCGGGACGGGTGCCCCCGCGGGCGCGGGCGTTGGCGCGGCGGGGGCATAGTGGCGCGCACTGGCGACACGCTTGGCTCCCTCCCGGAGCGGCATGTAGCGGAGACGGAGCGATCTCGGCTCTCGGAGACGGACGGGCTCCCTCCCGGCCCGGGAGAGGGAGACTAGCTTAGGTCAGGAAGGGAAACCCTAGGTCAGGTCAGGTGTCTAGCTAGGTCTCCTCGTCCTCGTCCTCCTGTCCTGAGAATACTCCTGCCTGTGGGCTGTGGGGGTGCTGGGCGTCGTCGGCATTCGGCCTCGGGGCGACCAGCCTGGCAATTCCCTGGCCAGTGGCAGCACAACCACAGCACAGCAGGTCGGGAGGGGAAGAAGCTGCTGGCTGAATCAGCAATTCAGCAGCATGGTTGATGCGGGTGGAAGGTTGAGATGAAGTGGTGGAGTTGCCGATTTGGGTTGCATCCGGCCATTTCGGTCCGCTTCCGGCTTCCGGCTTCCGGCTTCCGCCTGCCGGCTCGGGATCGGGGAAGGGAAGAGGAAGACCCACAGCAGGGCAAGCAGGGAGGCAACTTCATTGGGTGGGCCAACATCTGTCCTCTTCTTTCTTTTTCATCTGGGCCTAGCCCAACCCACCAAGCCACAAGCCCATCAATCATCTATAGGCCCATATCAAGTGGTAGTGTATGTACCACAAGCCCATCCATCATCCACTATCATCGTCCTCGTCTCAACTCTGTCCGATCATCCTGCAAACTAACGCGTATAGCATGTGGATGGAAATCACAAATCGCATAAATGGATGGAATGGAAAGGAGACCTTGATCAAATCTATCGTCGAAGCCGTGCCAACATATGCAATGATGGTCTTCAAAATCCCAATAAACATTTGCAAATGGATGACGGATGCCCATATCGTAGTAGTGGTGGGGTGATTGATGATGATAAGGAAAGGATCCATTGGTAAGCTTGGTCGAAATTATGTTCTCCAAGAAATAGAGGTGGTATGGGGTTTAGGGACTTCCATAGCTTCAATTTGGCTATGTTGACAAAACAAGTCCGGAGACTTCTCTATTACCCTCACTCTTTCTCCTTCAGGCGAAAATGAAGAGTGGGAGTTTTTTTTTTACTTGGTAGAGTGTGTTAGCGGGATTGGATTGCTTTAAACACGGCTATATTTGGTGTGTTGGAGATGGCACACAAATAAATATTTGGAGGGATAATTGGATTCCAGGGAGTCCCAATATGAAGGTTCTAACACCGAGAGGAAACACTCTAGTATATATGGTGGGGGAACTTATTAATCCCATTGATGGAAGGTGGGTGTAAACCTTCTTAGATCTTTGTGTTTGGCCGGTTGATGTACATAGGATCTTACAGATTCCTATTTATAGTGGCCGAGAGGATTTGGTGGCTTGGCACTTCAATCGCGATGGATTATTCACAGTCAAATCAGCATATCATTGCCAATGGTCATCCAAATATGGGTCCAGGCTTATCACTCCATCAGCAGGAGGATCGGGAGCGGACTCAGTGTGGAATAAACTCTGGAAACCGTCAATTCCTAGCAAGGTGAATTTTTTTGCTTGGCAGGTGCTTCATGGCTGCATCCCATGCCATGTGATTTTGGCAAATAAGCATATTACCAATGCAGTTAATTGTCCTATGTGACAAACGGAAGCAAAAGACATTAAGCACGCATTATTTTCATACTGCCGAGCAAGGGAAGTATGGACCTCGTTGAGCATTTGGGAACACATTGAGAGAATGATGATCGTGGATAGATCGGGGTCTATTCTTATCCAGGAAGTGATCAGGTCAGGAGACGAACTGATTTTGACCGGTTGCTGGTATATTTGGTGGCAGAGACGACAACGTGCTCATGGGGAAGATATCCAAAATTATCCAAGGTCAGCCTTGTCAATCGCTGCAATAACAACAAATTATTCTGTTGCATCAGATAAGGGAGCAGTGATCAATCAAGGCTGGAAGAAACCTTCAGAGAGATGTCCAACGATTAATGTGGATACCCCTACGATGAAACAAAGGGATCGGGAGTCATTAGTGACTCCACGGGTGGCTTTATTGTTGCATCACACAGCTTCATACCACATACAGTTGATGCGGCCACAACAGAAGCATATGCGTTGAGGGATGGACTCCTTTTGGCGCAACAAATCAGTTGTAGTCGAGTGGAGATCCAATCATATTATACGGAGGTTGTCAATACTATACAGGATGAAGGTTTTTAAGCTGAATGACATGTAACAATTATTAATACTTGTAGTTTTTTAAGTTTGATAAAATATTATCGTAGGCAATAATTTTTTAAAACTTTTCAAAAAATAAATAACAATGCAAGCATGTGTGTTTTGAGTAGTACTAGCTAGCTGGGCAGCAGGAAGAGAAAGATCTCGATCGCGGGAGGTACACCGTACACGCAGCAACTAGCATGATAGATTTGAGTTGAATAAATAAACATGGTTATTAAGCTAAGCCGCGTCCATCAAGCGCGCCGACGAGTATGCTGCACCGACGGGAGAGCGCCGACATCATCTCTTTTTCATTTTACGTTGTATGAGGCCATTCTCTTTCACGAGAGTTTCATTTGTATTTAATAATATGTCACATATGTATTTTCGATGACATGTCACTATTTTAATGAAGAGAGAGAAGAAATGAGTTTCATAACTCTCTTGGCACAACTCTCTATGAGTCTTAGAATTAAATATCTATGAAACTATCAAATGAAACTTTATATTGAGAGTGGGTGTTTCATTCAAGTTTTGTTTCATTCTATATGACATGATAGTTTTGGAAACAACTCAATAAAACTCTCCACTAAAACTGGCCTGATGAGTTGTCTACGCTTTAGTATAAATAGGTGCTGTCAGAAGAAACGTGGCTAGAAAATATATAAAAAATAAGTTGATGACGGGCTTAGCAACTGCGAGTTTTTTACTTACTTTTGTTAATTAATTTATTTATAAGCTGTGTTGTATGTGTATCAGAGTCATCCGATCCGAGTAATATTTATCTGCACTAATAAATATTAAAACTTATCTAGTAGTCTTCTAATTAAAACACCTGAACTTATTAGATGACACCAAAACTCGTTACAAATATCATCGCAGTAGACAACAATTAGCCAGAAATAAAAAAACATCCACACTTCCACGACACAGAACAAGTAGAGTTTTAATGGACTCTTCAGTTCACATTTTCTGCCGATGATCACACGTACCTACTTTGTGTCGTTATCATAATTTTATATTGAGTTTCAATGTTAGAGAAAGGATCACCCCAAAAGTCTAACCTGTTGGGGGAGCAGAATACATACATAGATAGGGAGGGAATGCATTTTTAACAGGGCATTGTGGAATACAGTATCTTACAGATGGAGTACTCGCTCGGTGGTGAGAAGAGAGAGAGAGGACGACCTTTTAGACATGGGTAACTGTCTTCATCAAACGCGACCCAAGATACAAGACTAATTCGTTCTTTAGGTAGTATTATAGACAAATAGTTCAATAGCTATTTTTATTTTTTTCTTCTCTAACCAGAAGACCTAAAAGACAACATTTTCTACAAATGGATCTAAAGGAGAAATGATATTCAGATTTGGGTTATGCCTCTCATAACACTCAAAATAGATCTTTTATATAGGTACTCTGTTGAAACTATAGATATTATGTTGGAGACTCATTTTAGGTTTGGATGGTCATGGGTCTCGAGACATCCTAAAGGTAAACATAGGATTAAAAGAGCAGCAAGCATGCATTTTTCTTTGATAGAAAAAGGTCACCGCGCGCCTGATCTGACTGAAGAAGCAGCAAGCAGACAGCAAGCAGCAGTAGCTCTGGGCAAATTTAACCGAGAACCGAAAACCAAACCGAAAGAACCGGAACCGAAAAATTCGGTTCCTTATTCGGTTCCTAATATTGAGGAACCGAAATAACCGAAAAAATTCGGTTTCTACTCTCGGTTAACCGAATTAACCGAATTACATGAATTATACTTCACTTACTTGTATTTTGTAGGATTATATTTGGTTTATGTGTAGTGTTTTATATTTGAACTGCTATATATTTGTGTTACTATATTGCTATTGTTTTCTTATATATTATTATTAAAATGAATATAGTATTACATAAATTTACCTTAGAATAAATATATTTATTATTGTTTTGAGGTCTTCTGAAAAAATTCGGTTAGTTCAGTTAGAACCGGAACCGAACCGAAATAACCGAGAACTGAAATGCTCGGTTCCTAAATTTTTTTGAAACCGATCGGTTTCGTTTTATAGGAACCGAATTTCATCAATAACTGAGGGAACCGAACCGAGAACCGAACGCGCACCCTGAGGCAGCAGAGCCTTAACTCTCCTCTTTCCCACCTCCACCTCCGGATACACTGATCGACTTGGCCAGTTGGGGGGCGGGACGGGGATCGGAGGAGGAAGATACACGCGCCAGCCACCGGCGACCCACCTGCTCCCGCCCACCTTCCCTCCTCGTCCTCGATGGGCCACGGCATCAGCTGCAGCCGCGACGGCGGCGAGGAGCACGACTTGTTCCGCGCGGTGCAGCTCAGCGACCTGGACGCCCTGGAGGCCCTCCTCGCAGTCGCAGCCGACCCGGAGCTCGCCCGCCGCGCCACCACCACATACGACCGTCTGTCCCTGCTCCACATCGCCGCCGCCAATGGCCAGCTGCAGGTTCGATCGCTCGCTTCCGTGCTGTCTGTCGTTTATTTGTCTCTCGCAGAGTCGCAGCCTTGCAGTTGCAGTGCAGGCAGAGGTTACTTAATCTTACTTATCTTGTGGTTTCTCCGATCCATCGATCGCTCCTTGGCATCGACGACATGGATACATTGACCATCGCCAGGTGCTCTCCATGTTGTTGGATGACGATGGCGCCGGCAACGGCGGGGCACACGCACCGGCACGCCCGGACGTGGACGTGCTCAACCGGAAGAAGCAGACACCGTTGATGCTGGCGGCCATGCACGGCAGGACGGACTGCGTGCTCAGGCTGCTAGACGCGGGAGCAAATGTAAGTACTAGAACTTACTACTAGTCTTGAGTTTATTTCGCTTCATGGTCACGGTGTCATGGATGGATGAATGCATGGGACAATCAATGGGTGATGGGTCCCGTTCCTGTTCCTGACGAACTGAACTAATGGCTTTGGCTTGCTCAGATCCTGATGTTCGACTCGGTACACGCGCGGACATGCCTCCACCACGCGGCCTACTACGGTCATGCCGACTGCCTCCAAGCCATCCTCTCGGCCGCCAAGACCGCGCCTGTGGCCGACTCATGGTATGGTGAGCGGGAGTGACAGGACAGCTCGATCGACCCGTGCTAGCTAGCTCATTATCCTCATCCTCATCCTTATGCATCATAAATATGACATGGCGCTTGCTTGCTTCGCTTGCAGGGGCTTCGCGCGGTTCGTGAACGTGAGGGACGAGCATGGCGCCACGCCGCTGCACCTGGCGGCCAGGCAGGGGCGGCCGCAGTGCGTCCACCACCTGCTCCACGCCGGCGCCATCGTCTCCGCTCCAACAGCCTCCTACGGCTTCCCCGGCAGCACGGCGCTGCACCTGGCTGCACGCCGCGGCAACCTGGACTGCGTCCGGGAGCTCCTCGCCTGGGGCGCTGATCGCCTCCACAGGGACTCGGCGGGGAGGATCGCCTACGCGGTGGCCCTCAGGCGCAGCCACCGAGCGTGCGCCGCGCTGCTGAACCCGGCGGCGGCGGAGCCCATGGTGTGGCCTTCCCCGCTCAAGTTCATCAGCGAGCTCAACACGGAGGCCAAGGCCCTCCTGGAGGCGGCCCTGATGGAAGCCAACAGGGAGAGGGAGAAGCAGATCATTGTCAACCTCAAGGGGGGCACCACAACCAAAACCAAAACCGACTCCTACTCGTCGTCTGCCGACGATGACGGCACCACCACCGCCAGCAGCAGCCTTGACGACGAGGACGACGCCACCGAGCTGTGCGGCATCTGCCTGGAGCAGGCGTGCAGCATGGAGGTGCAGGACTGCGGGCACCAGATGTGTGCCGCGTGCACGCTGGCGCTGTGCTGCCACAGCAAGCCCAACCCGACGACCCTGGCTCTTCAGCCGCCGGCCTGCCCGTTCTGCCGCGCCACCATCACCCGGCTGCTGGTGGCCAACAACAAGACTAGCAACAGCAGTGATGAGGCAGCCCTGGGCGGCGTTAGGTCCCATGGTAGCAGCAGCTTCAGGGGGCTCACCTCGGCCATCAGGTCCTTGTCCTTGTCCAGGATTGGTCGTGGCTCCGGGAGGGTAGCCGACAGCGACGGCATATGCCATGGACAAGCCTCCACACCATGTGGTGTCAACAGCTTATTACCTGCACAAGCAATAATCCAGTCATTCTTTGAGGACCAAGGATCGAAATGATTACCAAGCCCAGGCCAGATGGGATATAATACAGTTCACAGCTCTGCTGCTGTAAACAATGGTGCCGGATCAAGACTCATATATACTGCAATACAAGTAGATATTTTTTAATATATATATAAGGAATGAGTAGAGTTAGTAGCCATTAATTCTTGGATTTGCTAGTCAATAATATGTTGTGGCATCATCATCCTTCATGATATATATAATATATAGATTTGTACCCTCTGGTCCTGCCAAAACGCTGCAAGATCAAGACTGCAAGACTTGTGTATTTTGTGTTATGGTATAGGTGTGAGTCTGGGGCATGAACATTCAGCATCATGAAGCCAGCAGGTACACATGAACGGATTCAGAATGCATGCAATATAATGCAGGGAGATGAACATTAATGATTCGTAAAAAAATGTGAAGGATGCGTTTCCTTTCCACATCACATAGGTCACATATCACCAGATCGCCTATCACAGGTGATAGGTGAGGTCATGCGATGACCAAGTGTGTTTGTAGTGTTCCATTTTCTATATGACAAGTGCACCAAGATATTTTCTATCTATCATTGATTAAGCAAATAGAGAAATACTAACAGGAGCCCAGTTGTCAAAATTCAATGCGATTGCTGAGGCAGTGAGGCACGCGTGCTTTAGACTGGACCGGAGAAGGGAGAACATATGCATCAACGGGGGGGGCTCTGCTCACGGAGACAACACGACAACATCCCTTGCACTGTCATCCCCAACCCAACCAACCTGAACAAGAACAAAAAAAATACAGATGACGTGAATACACAACATGCTGTAGCGTTGGTCAACTTGTTTACCTTGTCAGCCTTACCTATCTCTGGATGCACGCCTCTGCAAAGAAAACATGGCCTACCCTGTTTCAAGGACAAGGATGGGGTGTCACTCTCGGGTTACGCATAACATATGTCATATCAACGCCCATTGTATGGAATTCTCTCTAAGTATTGTTCTCTTATTTTAATAGGTCTCAAGTACAAGTCTCAATCAGAACTCTACTAATGATCGCATTCAGCTCAACAAATATCAACTCATGGAGAGTCAATTACGAATAAAATCACCACAACACTGCAAGTCAGTTAGTCTTCCTTGTAGGGCTGATCAAGAACCACATTGTAGCATGTCGGGTTGCAGGGATATTCACAATCTATTTCCTTCACCTCTCTCCGATCAAAGAACCAATCTCCCACAGCTTCGGCGGCCGTCTGCATCACAATTCAGATTCAGATACTATATTAATCACAAAAAGACTGACAAACCACCAACCCATCATCTATAGCATGTGTATGTGTATGTATTGGTGACAGGCACAAAAGTACAATGGTGAGGTTTATCACAGTTAGTAAAATGTAAAACCCCAGTTAAACCCATGCCCATCTACATTTGTGACATATATAACGTAGATATGTGTTTACCTTGTTGTTGATTCTAGCAGCTGATGGTGAATGCCAAGCCAAAGCATTCATTGACTGACAGTGTATAAAGCAGGAGTCAATGAACATACCCCAGTCTCTTCTCTTCTTGAATTCATTTATACCATCAAGCAGCGCTTTCCTAAAACCTGAAAATTTCTTATCCTCAGTATACTGAGTTGCAAGATGCAGGCTTAAGTGAGACAAGTAAACAGAAGAGACACATAAGATTCCATTACAACCTTGAAGAACGTCAAGCTGTTTTGAGCTACACTTGGTAATGTCCGTCCTGCAATTTTGCCATAGATTTTGAGGGTCAGAACCTTCTGGAGACAACACATGCTCTACCTGGAAAGGAAGATCGAAAAGTTTACAGTAAGAGTCATATTGATTTTTATGCACTAATGGACTGTTAAAATGGATACATATAATGGCACCTGCCAAACATCATATGCTGGATTGAGTATAAACATCGGTGTGGTGATGCTTTTTGCAACTTCTTGTGGGAAGAAGCACTGGCAGCAAGTAAGAGGAACTAATTAGCATATAACAGCTTGAATGAAGAGAGTGATTACTTTAAAGAAAGGAAATGACAACTTCAGGGACAACCTGCCCCGGTTCCATATCTGAGCTGCAATGAGGGAACCTTTTACGCACATCCTGTAAGATAATAATACCATATAAAAATGTCACTTATTGAATTGGGTTGGGGTTGAGAGAGAGAGAGAGAGACCTGCAGCCGAGCAACATCGTTATAGAAGCCCCGCATATATCTTCTTCCAGAAATGTCTTCTCTGCATAAGAAGGTAGAACCAATGACAACTTGCAGACAACACAAAATCACTGTGAAATTCTTCTTTTTCCCGAAAACACAGGAGAGCTGCCCTGCGTATCATTGCATTAAGAAGAAGAAATGCATGAAGAAGGCATTACACATCCATTTTTACTAATAAAGCTAAAGATTTGTAGCAACAGAGAACTAGGGCTGCAACCAAGTCAAATTCAAGCAAGCTAAAAATACACTTGGCTCTTCTTTATAGAAATATGTGAGCTCAATTTCAGTTGAGTTGACCAAACGAAAGAACAGGCTTGTACTCGGGCAATAACAAACTTGAGCCATATATCAATTCTCAACCAAGTCTGAAAACCAATCAAAATAACAATATTTTAGTGATAGATCAGATAGTGTTAGAAAATTTTAATATTAATTAGGCAAAAATGGTGGCAGAAAATACACAAATGTTGATAGATCATTCCAAATTCAACCAGGACAGGAAATTTTCTGTTCATAGAACTTTCTTTATGCATCCTCAAGTAAAAAGGTAATAGTTGTGACAAAGAGCTAATTTGAACATAAGAAGTACGAAAACTGAAGGCGTTAGCGTAAAAGAAAAAAGTACTAAAACTTATTTTGTATCAATTAGAAATTTACAATTAACTTATACCATAATTCTACTTGTTTCTCAACAAAGTATCCAGAAAACAAGTCAATCTTGAGTGGCACAGAGCAAGTGAATTTATGCATGGAGCAGAAACACTAAAAAATACTTAGCATACTCATCAAGAAAGAATCCACCATCCGTGAGGCACTTGACAGTAGGCGTGTTGGGTAGAAGTGCCCGGAAATCATCACAGTGAATGTATGTAGAAAGGCCACCAGCCGAGCATCCAGTCAGAAAAGCCTACAAGTAGGGAATATATTAGCATTGTAATGTTATCAAAATGGTCCAATTCACAGTCAAGTAAATTGCCCACATGACTGGCCACCAATGACATAATAACAATCTATTTGTCTAGCAATTTGCTTCGCTAACTTGTTAGGGCATAGGTTTTTTAAAAAAAGGAATAATTCCGGCCTCTACAATTAGTTAACAAGTCAATGCGAATACACCAGGATAAGAGAGTAAAATGTGGTAGAGAATCCCTTTGTCACAAGGCATAAAATTTTTTTTGGATGACTCCTATGAGAAGATACAAAGTAGCCCAATGAAAGAGTAAAATGTCACTGTGGGTGCTGATTCATCCTAGGCCCCAAGCATCCTGTTCACCATGACGAGGTAGTATACTTCATATTGCATTTTGTTCAAAGGCATGTTGCGGTGCTAGAATGGTAATAGTCGCCTAAAATGAGGAGGGGGAAAGACCAGGTCTTAAATGCACATATATTTTTGAAAACTAGAAATTCTGTGATGATACTGCAAGGCAACAATCTTTTTATGCCTCCAAAAGATGCGATGTAGATAACTAGCTACAAAGGGAAACCCCCCATGACTAGCTACAAAGGGAAATCACTGTAACTATAGTGTAGTCTTTGTCGTGTTCATTGTTTTGGGCTGGGAATGAACTTTTGCCGTGTGTTCAAGTCACATGGCAGGCCGTGGAAACATAAACATGCTAGATCAATGCACTGATGTGTGAAGACTGATTAGTATTGCAACAAACGCTGCTATTTTATTTGAAAGGCAAACCTGTTTCGCTCTGGCTAGCCCCTTTGACAGAAGTTCGGCCATGACTACTTCCCAGATACGCTGGCCTCTGAAGAAGAAACCTGTGCCATTCTGGGGAGGATCACAGAAATATTAATCGGAATGTCTGGGAAGAAAAGAAAACACAGAATTAAATGGGAGAACGAGAAGTAAAGTGGATAAAGGGCAATCGCACCTTCTTGACTTCATCTTGGACATGTCCAGAGAATGATGCACCATCACAGTATCTTATTTTCACTTTGTTCCAGTTGTAAAAATCTGCGGGAAGTATTATTATTATTTATTAGATGCACGCAGTCGTGAATAGTTGATTGTATTTGAAGAAGCTGAGTATTCTAAGTTTAGTACTACTTAGAAAGCAAACTTGGCTATATATTTTTCAGAGAATGTGTGTGCTGTGCTGTTGAGTGGAGTTGAAGCAGAGTGGCTGATAGCAGAAAACACTGGAAACTGGAATGGAAGGCAGGCACAGGTAAGTACTCCAGTAAGTGGAGAGAGAGGAGAGCATTGGAGACGCATCATTACCTGGATTCTGAGATTGATCATCACTGAGGATGCCCACGAATTCAGCACGAGTATCCATGTGGGCAGAGGAACCGAGATTTGTTTTCTTACGGCGAGCACATGATTCGAAATTGCGGCACCAGCTTCCGCCCTCCAAGTGGAGGAGCCAGTTGTGGGATCCGTCCCCGAATCCTGGAAGGAAGTGGTAGGCAGGCGGCGTACCATCCAAGCAGACTAGCAGCGAAGCTGATGGTTCAGGATTTTGATTTGATGGAGGGATAACAAGGCCCAAGCGAAGTGAGCGGGAGGGAAGCTGAAGAAGAGAGAGCTAGCGTGACTGACCTGCGCCCTTGTCGGTGGCGCCGTAGACGAGGGTGATGTCGACGAGGGCCGGGAGGCGATGCCCGTAGGACGGGGACGCGGGCGGGGAGGCTGCAGGGCCCGCGGCGTAGCGGGAGAGCGTGAGCACGAGGGCGGCGGCGAGGAGCGCGAGGGCGAATGCGGCGCCGCGTCGGCCGAGACGGCGCCACCAGAGGCGCAGCTGAAGGTGGTGGGTGGAGATGGCCGGCATCGGTGCCGGTGGTGGATCTGAGGCTCGGCGGGCGGCTGATGCGACAGCACAACACTACTCTTTCTTCTTCCTCTTCTCCGACGACGACGGAGACGACTCCTCACGGTCATAACTTCTTAATTTCTTTATATTTTATTTATATTGTTTTAAACAAGGCGAGGTTGGAGGCAACAGCCAACCAGCAGCGAGTCTTATATATATAGAATAATATATAAAAATATAAATTAATGGTTAATAAAGTCTTGGAAGAGCCATCCATGTCCGGCGGCGGTGGTGGGTTGCCGTTGCCGAGGAGGAGAGAGAGGAGGATCTTCTCCTCCATCTCGGATCTGCCTTTCCCACACGACAAATGGAATCGAACAAATGCTTTGTGCAGGGCACGCAAGAGCAGCAGTACCACTCCAACCAAGTCCAAAAGAGGCGACGACCTCACCTCCAGTGCAAGTGTTAGCCTTGTATAAGAGACTTTTCGCGTCATAATTTATAAAAGATCGTAATTAAGCGTATGCTTTTTCAAAAATCAAGTGATTCTTGCCACTACTCTAACTTTTTGGTCCTAAAATGCAAACTTCCGTCGAGTTAGGGCTTTAAGCCGTCAAACATGAGTGTGAAAAGGCGAAAATGCCCTTAAGTTCAAATATGTTATTAATTTTTTTGAACATCTTAACGACTTAAATGAAAAAACTCAAAACTAGAAAGTTGTAGATCTCGTCGAGATCTATAATTTTCATATAAAATTATTTTCATTTAATTTCGCAAAAAAAAAAAATATGATGATTTTTCTAAGATATATTAATCATATCAAATCATATTTTTTTGTGGAATTAAATGAAAATAATTTTTATATGAAAATTATAGATCTCGACGAGATCTACAACTTTCTAGTTTTGAGTTTTTTTCATTTGAAGTCGTTAAGATGCTCAAAAAAAATTAATAACATATTTTAACTTAAGAGCATTTTCGCTCTTTTCACACTGCCGCTTGCTTGTTAAGCTAGAGCCCGAATCGACGGAAGTGGCATGGAGGACCCAAAAAGTTAGAGTAGTATACCAAGACCGCTGAATTTTTTTTCAAGGCACACAAGGATTACGATCTTTATAAACTTTACATAGTGAAAAGTTTCCTCAGATAAAGGTATACTCCACCTAGATCAAAATGAGTTGAGGGCTTGAGGCCAATAGCCTCTCAACGCAAGCAGCAGCCTGTCCTCTGCCTTGGTCCTGCCACTGTGCTCAGCTTTTGTCACCGTTCGGCTGACCAGAAGCCGGCGGTTCATTTTTTTAAAACCAAAATAGTGTTTTTTATCCCAATATTTCAGTCGAAATAGTGTTTTTCAGACTGAACAGACTTTTTGCCAGTGGAAGCCTGCGAAAGAACATGACACTAAACTTTGTACAGTGCATGATTCTCCACTGTAGCATTTTGTTTGTATTTATGAATTATTGTCCAAACATTAACTAATTAGGCTCAAAAGATTCGTCTCGTAAAGTTAAAGCAAACTGTGCAATTAGTTTTTTATTTCGTCTACATTTAGTACTCCATGTATGTATCGTAAATTTGGTGTGATGTAAAATCTTCTTTTTGTATAGTGTACTTTTAGAGAACTAAATGCGTAGGTGGAAGTTGGGGCAGTGCTCCACGTTGGAGCGTTGGGCATGGCCACCTCATCCACTGACAGCTTTTGTTTGAGGGGATCATCCACTTTTTTTTTGTTTTGAGTGGAGAGGGGATCATCCACTGACAACTGACAAGAGCGCAATCACCCGCTGGGCTTGGGCTTGGGCTTGGAATGGTAGCCGCAGGCGCCGCGGCAGGCTGCTGGCCATCTCGCCCATCCCAAACAAGAAGCCCAATCCAATCTGGGTGCGGTTGGGGATAACTTTGCTTAGGGTTTAGTAGCAGTACATACATGGCCCTAAAGCTAAAGCTACTCCTAAATTGGAGTTGGAGAGCAGGAGGCGGCTGCTGCCTGCGCAACGACAACGCTGCGCTTCCATTCCCATTCCCATTCCCATTATGGAATCGGACCACCGCGTCTTCCTCCGCATGCAGCAGCTCCAACTTGTTCGTCGGCGGTACGTTAACAATCAAATCAATCTCCACCTGTTCCCATGCTAGTTCCATCTTTTCCTGCTCTGCTATGGTCTCTTTCTGATTGCTTCAACTGGGTCCGGATCCGGATGGGGGGTGGGGGAGACCTAGCTCTTTCAATTACAGTAGACGATACTTGGAATTACGGATGATTTCAGTTCAGTTTAGTGTCAAGCTCAGCTCGTTTGCTGCCGCCTTTCTTCCGTTTTTGTTATTGCAGGTCTTTCTTACGACACTAACGAAACAGCTCTCAAGGACGCTTTCTCTCAATATGGTGATGTTATTGCAGGTATGTATTGTATTATACCTACTAGCTGTTCCCACCTCCTACTATATATTCTTTTCTTCTTCGTCGTCCTTCTGAAATTGCTTGCTTTTACGTAGGAGTACAAATTAAAATCGATCCTTCTCTCATGACGATTCATTAATATATATGCACACTGCAGTGAAGGTTATATGCCATCCCACAACCGGCAAGTCAAAAGGATTTGGTTTTGTCAAGTTTTCTTCACAAAACCATGCTGCCGCAGCATGGCAAAAGATGAACGGTCAGGCAAGTGTTCTTCACTATCTTCTTTCATATGCTACGTATCATATAGGACAACCTGCCTCTGTATCCAGACTATCCACCACCAACACAAATTTCCACACTATAATCTTTTTTTTTTTTGAGGGAACCACTGTAATGTTTTCAGGTGCTTGATGGAAGGAACATTCGGGTGCACTACGCAATCGGTACTGGGGGATCTGCTGCCACTGATGACTGATGCTTAGAATTTTACTATCAGTCTTAGGATCCAGTGAACATCATTCCATACAGTTTGTGCTGTTCAGTCTCACGAGCTGTTCCTGACTTCTGAGAGTTGGAAACAAAATAGCTACACCTGATGAACTTCATATATTTTCTTTTCTTTTCTTTTCACTGGCATGGGCATATGATTTGCAACACCGAAGGTATCAACCGGTGAGTACTGGCGAATAAACTGGCCAGAAACCACCATACTGCCAATGCCCATAGATAGTAGTCTGTTCTCAGTTGGAATTGGGAGCCTACTGCTGATGGACATTGCTCCGTCAAGTGTGTGTACAAGGTGTCCAGTGTTGCAAATTCTTGGGGTTGTTTGGGTGGACAAATCAATCCAACCAAGAGTTAAAATCTTTATTTGCCTGGGGGCTTCTTAGGCTTGCGCTTGGCAGTGCCTTCCTGGGTGCACGGAATCATTGAAAAATACCAATGAAGCTCGCTCGCGTTGTGGAAAACTGAAAAATTAATCACATTTTTTTTGAGTGAAGCTTTGCTAGGGCCGGTTTGCTTCAAACATTGGGGTTGGGGGGCTGAGGGCTTGTCGCACCCGGTTTTCCGAAGAAGACCCAGCGCTAACTATATGTGTGCCCAGGATGTCCACACGACACATATAGCGACAAATATGGAGAATATCAAGAACAATGCTTTATTATATATCGAACATAGCTACAACAAGACTTACAACTATTACAAAAGCATAGCAAAAACTATTCTTAATCTTCTCTTCGGGGCTCCATACTCCACAGGGACGGTTGACTGGGGGAAGCACTCGCCTATTACTCATGGACTCCACAAGAAACTATTCACTTATCCACCATCTGGTACCCATCTGGGATTTTTATCGGTGACAACGATAAGCGTCAGCTCACCATGCTCAGCAAGTATAACATGAGGTTATGCAAGACTCAAGAAGGCTTGACCCGGATATACGGCGGTAAGCATTTTTAGTTGGTCATATTTTATTTATTAAACCTGAGTTACTAGGTTATGCTTAAGCTCCCAAGGTTAAAGTATAATAATTATCATCAAGATTATGTCCCAAACCATCCATAGAACCATCTATCTCAAAAAGGATCCAGGCCGCTCGTGTCCGTGAGCACGACTGATATATCAGTTTGATCAAACTGTGCAGAGTGTGTACACTTTTACCTTGAGTCGTGATCCCCATTTGACTAGGGCTCGTCGACCCTCTAACACTTCCAAGGTGAGTAGGCAGGGTCTCACTACGAAGCCTTTCACTAATTACCCTAACAAGTTAGTAGCCGCGAGGTTTCAACAGCTAGGCGAATGGAGGCCCCCTTCAAGACTGGCACACCTTGACCGCAGCCCAGTACACATCTTGACAGGCAAGAAGCCATTCTACAATCTAGGGCCCCCTCTTGCGCCGAAAACTTTCGGTAACTACTAACAAGCTAGAGAAAACTAGCTATACGACTAAGATCGTGCCCATTTTAATTCTCAAGGTTGTATGGATGTCCTGGGTGGCCGCTTTAAGATTCTGTCCTTATGGAGGGCAGACTAGAGCGCCCAAAAAGATCCAATGCTCTAGCCCCCTTTCTGTACATGTTGCTGAATTTTGATTCTCAAGGTTGTATGGATGTCCTGGGTGGCCGCTTTAAGATTCTGTCTTTATGGAGGGCAGACTAGAGCACCCAAAAAGATCCAATGCTCTAGCCCCCTTTCTGTCCATGTTGCTGAAAAGCACCATTTTAATTATTGATTCCATAAGTCATTAATCAGAATTAACATTATATCATTTGGTGATTGCAAGCTAAGCAAAGCTACCCATATGCATGAACCTAGGGTAAGTACAGGGTATCAAAAGTACTAGGTAAAGTCCTTAGCATCATATTAGACACATGCAAATGAAAGTGATTATAAGGTTATTAGCTAACAAGGGAACTCATGTTACATTTGCCTCCAATTGTTTGCTCAAACTTTTCAACCTTTGCTTCTGAACCATCCTCGCGTAGTTCCTTCTATCGATAGCAGTCAACTGGCACAAGGACCTGAAAATGACCCTAGAAACAATACACCCAGCATTACAAAAACAAGCTATAAAGGTTCCCAACGAATGGGTCCATCGCGTGAGCGCAAAACAACCTAAACGGATCTCTTGGTTAAAAAGGTAGAAGCTTTTGAAAGTTTGTACGCTTAAATTATAAAATTACCATTTTAAATGAATGAACAATTTAGAAATGAATTTAAGTCACAAAAAGTAAATTATGACGGGATTTCGAGGACTATCAACAAGGATGGAAACGATGTAGAAGAAATAAACGTGACATGGATAAGATTGCTAAACGGTATTTGTAGAAATTCTAGGATTATATTTATCAAGGAAAAGAATGTGTATATATGGCATCAAGACAACATCAAGATGATGATAGGGTACTGAACCCGTATTCACAGGTTTACTACTAGCTTGTGCATGGCTTAGATTGGAAGTCAGCATAGATATAGGATTATTGAATGATATTTCTGGAAGGAAAAAGAAATCGGTATAAGAGACATTACATGCATGATGGGATGCTTGCATCACTATGGTGTATATACATACTTTGATATACTGGCTTATACTAGCTTGCACTTGTTTATGGAGAGAACATGCATGCACGCGCATTAGATGCATGCTACTGCTAGACATCTTGATTCATGAACAAATATAAAACTGATATGGGCAATTAGCTAGCTTGCGCAAAAGATTACAAGAGATGTCTATATCCAGGCTTCCATGCATCTACTAGGCTGAGAAATTGATAATCTAATTGGTGATCATGGGAAGAAGCTAGCAAAGAAATTATGCATGCCAACAGGAAGTGGCGCACACAGCAAAATAATAGATTGCGATGCAGATAACCTTCTCACCTTGGGTCGTGAAATTGCAGTGAAACAAAGATAAGTAGCCTCAAAAGATGAACACTGCTGCAAAGCGTCGATCTTTGTTAACACCAGGGCGTGGTCGCAGGGATCAAAAAAATATAATCAAAAGGAAAAGATCATTACTTTGCTGTGATTATTGAAGATGATGTGACAGGGATATTAGAGAAAAACCCTCATCAGAGTAGCAGCTAGAAGGCCGGTGAACGGCAACTCAAGGGTACTCTGATGAACGACGACGGCGGCGTCTGCACCGGAGAGAATGACAGTGCACTTGCCAACAGAGAGAAGGCTCTCGGAAGCAGCGCGCAGTGTGAGATGGAGGGGACAGGGCAATTTATAGATGTGGCAAGGGAGCTGAGAGGTCAGGCAACATTGAGATGGAAGGCGCCTCCAGTGGAGCTCAGAATTATTGCCACTACAGTTAACGATCGCTGATGGTGGGATAGAAAAATGCGGCTAGCTTGGAGCTATGGCAATAAAGATGACGTTTGGTTTACTGATGATGGAAATTGATAGCAAGGAGATAGTGGAAGCTAGTTGCACTGGCGTTGGTGGATTGTTGCATGCATGTGAAGACTGCTGGTGGCCTGGTGGTTCATGACTGCCTGGAAAGAAAACACGTGCAAGAGTAAATAGCCAGAAGAAAAGGAAGAAAGGAAATTATGTTGGAATTATTAGTGGCAAGCTAAGGCCAAAGTGCCAACGTGATGAGATGGATAAAGATTAGAATAAGGATATATTTGACTTGAGATAGAGGGAGAGGAAAAGGTAGACACATGTTGATGGGCTGGATGCGATCCACGTCAAAGGGAGGGAGACAGAGATTAGCTGCAGCTATTATTGATGACGTGCATGATTTTTAGGATAATGAAATAGATGGACAAAAAGAAAGAAAGAAAAGGGAGAATTAGAATTGCTTTACTAGCAGAACATGGTGACAAGGTTGTTTGCTCATTGAAGTGAATCTCACGTGAAAAGGATAGACAAAAGAATTTGGAGAAAAAAGAGAGAGAAAATAATATAGTTTACAAATGACCATAGCTATTTAGAACTAAAAAGTGATCACATGAAAAGAATACAGGATAGATAAGGAATGAAGAAGGATTTGGCTCGAGATTAAAGGATTTTGACTGAACAAGGATTACGGAATTTGGCTATGATTTTAGAAACTAGGTTTAAATAAAATAATTTCCAAATAGGTTTTGAAGTCCTTTTTAAAACTCATTTGCAAACCATTTTAAGATTCTTTTTGTTAATCTTTCTAAACTATGTTTTTAAATTACCGTTTCAAAATATTTTAAAGCCAGATTTGAATTGAAAACAAAATTAAGTATTTTAATCCTTTTCCAAAACTAATTGTATATTTATCTAAACTACATTTTCAAGGACTTTTGAAACTCAAACTCATTTTTGAGCACTTTTTGAAACATAATTTTGAACATTATTTTTTTAGTAAATAGGGCAAAACCTATTCGAGGCTTTACCAAATTTTCTAAATTCGTTTTTCACACAAGAAATAAATTAATGCAGCCAACATGAATGCAACATCCCAACAAAATTATCTCAGAAACTTTTAAAACCATTTTTATTTGATACAATTTTGATAACAAACTAGCTAAAGCTTGGATAATTTTAGGAAAAATTATTAAATTATTTATTTTATTTAGTGTTTTCTATTCACGAAGGACGGGCCTGGTGCAAGCGGTAGAGTCTTACCGCCTGTGACCGGAAAGTCCCAGGTTCGAGTCGCGGTCTCCTCGCATTGCATAGGCGAGGGTAAGGCTTGCCACTGACACCCTTCCGGTCTCCTCGCATTGCACAGGCGAGGGTAAAGCTTGCCACTGACATATTTCCCCAGACCCCGCACAGAGCGGGAGCTCTCTACACTGGGTACACCATTTTAGTGTTTTTTATTCACACCCTAAAATCAAAATTTTGGGATGTGACAGGGCTGATGCTTCCTCATACGCTGACTTCAATCCCACATTGTTTCCATTCTGCAGCATGGCCCGTATAGTCTCTGCTCGGCTTCATCTTTGCAGGTTGCAGCTCCCCGTTGCTTGAACCCACTGGAGGCTG